TATAAATAAAATAGTTTAGTTTAGGTTTCCACCTCTAGTAACACTGGATCAATAAGAGATGATCCTTACTGGATCTCTAGAGAGAACAGTTTAGAACTGATAGAGCTATCGAGTATAAATAAATTTAGTTTAGTTTTCGTCCTGTAGTAACACTGGATCAATAAGAGATGATCCTTACTGGACCTCTAGGAAGAAAAGTTTAGAACTGATAGAGCTATCCAGTATAAATAAAGTTAGTTTAGTTTAGGTTTCCTCCTGTAGTGACACTGGATCAATAAGAAACGATCCTTACTGGACCTCTAGGAAGAAAAGTTTAGAACTGAAAGAGGTATCCAGTATGAAAAAATACAAAAAATACAAAACAATGGACACTCCGAAAACGGTTAACATTTTGATTCGACGTTTCGACTAGCTTGCAGTCATCATCAGGAATGACGCTACTACGAAATACAAAACTATATATACAAGATCAAATTAATGAAATATGATATGTGTTAGTTAAAAATTATGAGTTCCTTAGAGGCTTTACATCCGTGGTTAAGTTCCGGTCTCTGGCGATGAATATATAGAGATTCTTTAAAAAGTAATAAAGACCAATGTCTGGATTTGTCTATTATTCTACAGTTGTTGAAAATAATTGATTCAGAAGTGAAGTCGTCTAGATTAAATAGTGTATGAGGAAGATTAAATAGCGTTCTATAATACAGGAAGTGTTCGCATGAATTTATGTGTTTGTAAATCTCTGATTCTTTACTGCGGGCATGCTCTTTTAGCCTTGCATCAGACAGCGATCTGTCTTTCCGATGTAGGAAGCTTTACATCCAGGGCAACTAAATTTGTATACTACACTGCTTTGTAGTTCTTTAGGAGTCCGGTCTTTCATGCTTAGGAAGGTGGTAGTGCTGGTGGTGTCGTAAATAATGATGAATTGAGCGCGTCGTTTCAGCAAGCGTGTTAGTTTAGTGGTGCAGGATTTAATTAACATGTTTCCTCTTTTACCAATGAATGGTAGATGAATCCAGATCTTGGGAGGGTCTGTGACACTGTCTTCGGTGTTGATGGTGATGATGGTGTATGAGTAATGTTAGTTTAGTTAATAGTTTGAAAACACACCAAAACGATGCTTTGAATAAATTTATAGAAAATTATAGAAAAGTTTCACCGTAACTCAGCGAAGCAAGCGAACGACGATGTTGCAGAGCGTTCGTTCTTGGTGGCGGAAGAAAGAATAAGTTTAATATTTCATTTGGAAGAAGACAGAGTCACAGCTTCTACACGAGAGTTTGTGAAACCCCCGAACACGGAGGAGAAAAGTGACACGTTAACAATGACTCCTGATATGACGACAACATTCCAGGTGGACCCGCTCCTGAAGCCTCAGAAGGACCTGACAGTTTACAATATGTTGGTGTTCTTGATCAGAGCTGAAGAAGACAGCATCGCACAGATCCGTGCTATGGAAGACGAGGTTTGTCATTCCGGGGAAATTTCTCCAGGGAAGCCTCTCGAAAGGGAAATGCTCCAACCTCGTTAAAAAATGCCTGTCTCTTTTCTGTTACAGGTTGTGAATTTTTTACGTGTGGACTGAAGATGATAACGAATCTGTCATTTAGATCAATCTAAAACTCTGCCTGTCTTACTAGGTCAAAGAGATTTTAAAAGAGCGGACGATGGAAGAAGCTTCGTGTACTCTGACAATCTCTGTGTATGATACTGAAAGAAACGAGAAAGCAAAATTACACAGAGCAGAACTGGTACGTCTGAACAAACACATACAAACACATCTTTCCTTTTAGATTTGAAAACCATTTGCTGAATTGCTGTTGCACTTATAGTAAAATCGTGTATAGTTAATCAGTGGGCATTATTTATGGCGGGGGGTGGTACCGAAGAGAAAAGGGTTGGGTAAACAAAATTTTGAATGAGTAAAAGGTTGGGTAAATGAAAAACAAAACAACTCAAGGGTTGAGCAATAAAAATTTATTATTGACTCACTCAAATATTAAAGATTAAAAAGCAATGTCAACAGTCATATGTCATGTAAATCAATCAATCATTCAATCAGAGTCACTATCTTGATTATTTTCCGATTTGTCAGAGACAAATGTTGTCTCCAAAGAAAGTGCATGTGCAGACAACACGAGACTTTAGACTGCAGTAAACTACACAAACAGTTATCAAACTTATGTCACAGAAGTGGTAGAGGACATGTGTGATAACTGAATGGTCTTGTAAAGTTTTTGGCCAGGGGTGGATTTTTATTTTTTATTAATTGATATTTGAGATTGGATAATTTTTTTTCTCTCTTTAATGATCAGCAAAGGTTTTTGGGAAGAAAACCATTTTCCTTCGGTAATAATGCTCGTTCTTTTCAATAATAAAATAATAGTGCTCATTCTTTTCATTATACGCCGCAGTCTTGTGTTTTGTGGCGAGTAAACGGAAACGAGGGATGACACCTACCAATAGCAGTAGAAATTAAAATTTAACTCCGCCATTTCGTTTTTTCTTCCTCCAGCAACGCAAGGCTGAAGAAGACGCGAAAAAGAAACACGAAACAGAGATGGACTATCTCGCGCCATTCCTCGCGCAGATTGGCGATCCAGGCCACTTGAGCAGAGCTGAAGCTTATAAATTGAAAGAAGAATGTTTGCAGGATTTGAAACAAAGATTGATTGACAGAGCTAACCTCATTCAAGCCAGGTTTGAAAAGGTATGGTCGGAGTCACGGAGAACTTTAGCGCACTACACACGCAAAAATCTCACATCTTGTAGCAAGTCTGCCAACAAGTCGTCAACAAGTTGTGTTCGCACTGCTTGTTCCAAGTTGTCAACAAGTTTGGAACAACTTGTAACAAGCTTGATGGCAATATCAGACTTGTTGCAAGGTTGTTCCAACAAGTCCGATACAGTCGTGATATAACAATATTGTTACAACCTTGTGTAGTCAACCTTGTATACACGTAAAAATCTCACAACTTGTCAACAAGATGTGTTCGCAACAGGCTTGCAGCAAGCTTGTCAACAAGTTGTAACAATGCTATTATTTTATCAAGTTGCTACAAGGTTGTCACTCACAACTTGTTGACAAATTGTTGAATTTCAGGAAGATAACAAATTGTTGGAACAACTTGTAACAAGTCTGTTGAGTTCAACAAAGTGTGTTGTCAACGGCTTGTTGACAACTTGTCAACAAGCTGGGAACAAGCAGTGTGAACACATCCTGTTGACAAGTTGTTGAAACAGCATTGCTACAAGTCTGCTGCAGATTTGTTACAACTTGTGCGTTTTTACGTGTGTAACATTCTTGTTATATCATGACTATATCGGGCTTGTTAGAACAACCTTGTAACAAGTCTGATAATGCCATCAAGCTTGTTACAAGTTGTTAACAGCTTGTTCCAAACTTGTTCCAACAACTGGGAACAAGCAGTGCGAACACAACTTGTCGACAGCTTGCCAGTGAACAGATTTGTAACAACTTGTTTGCAGACTTGTAACAACTTGTGCGTTTTTATCTATGTACACACGTGAAAACGCACAAGTTGTTACAAATCTGTTCACAAGCTGTCGACAAGTTGTGTTCGCACTGTTTGTTCCCAGTTGTTGTAACAAGTTTGAAACAAGCTGTTAATAACTTGTAACAAGCTTGATGGCATTATCAGACTTGTCACAAGGTTGTTCTAACAAGTCTGAAACAGTCATGATATAACAGGAATGTTACAAATTTGACGACACAAGGTTGTAACAATATTGTTATATCATGACTGTAGCAGACTTGTTGGAACAACCTTGCAACAAGTCTGATAGTATTGACAAGGTTGTTACAAACTATTCACAGCTTGTTCCAAACTTGTTGACAACTTGTGACAAGCAGCGCGAATACAACTTGTTGACGGCTTGTTAGCAGACTTGCTACAAGATGTGAGATGTAGAAGTGTACACAGGTAAAAATCTCACATCTTGTAACAAGTCTGCCAACAAGCCGTCAACAAGATATATTCGCACTGCTTGTCCCAAGTTGTCAACAGGTTTGGAACAACTTGTTGACAACTTGTAACAACCTTGTCGAAATTATCAGACTTGTTGCAAGGTTGTTCTGACAAGTCCGTTACATGCTTGGTATAACAAGATTGTTACAACCTTGTGTTGACAACCTTGTAACATCCTTGTTCTATCATGGCTGTAACAAACTTGTTAGCACAGTCTTGTAACAAGGCTGATAATGCCATCAAGATTGTTACAAGTTGTTAACAGCTTGTTTCAAACTTGTTACAACAAACTGGAAACAAGCAGTGCGAACACAACTTGTTGACAGCTTGTGAACAGACTTGTGACAACTTGTGCGTTTTTACGTGTGTACTCTGGTATACACAAGTAAAAACGCACAAGTTGCAACAAACCTGCAGCAGACTTGTAGCAATGCTGTTCCAACAACTTGTCAACAGGATGTGTTCGCACTGCTTGTTCCCAGCTTGTTGACAACTTGCTACAAGGTTGTTGAGCTCAACAGACTTGTTACAAGTTGTTCCAACAACTTGTTATCGTCCTGCAATTCAACAATTTGTCAACAAGTTGTGAGTGACAACCTTGTAGCAACTTGATAAAATAATAGCATTGTTACAACTTGTTGACAAGCTTGCTACAAGCCTGTTGCGAACACATCTTGTTGACAAGTTGTGAGATTTTGACGTGTGTTTAGACGTTAGGTCTTGACTGTAATTGTTCAGAAATGACATTCGTTTACTTAAACTTGAACAGCTGAGAGCTTTGTTGTTCTGTACGTTTAGGAAACGCAAGAGTTGCAACACAAACAAGCTTGGTATCAACAGAATCAAATATCAATGACGAAAGAAGACGAGGATGATTATTTAACGTATTGTAGCGAGGCAATGTTTAGAATTCATATCTTAGAGCAACGATTACAGAGGTAGGGAAAATTAAAAAAATACAAAGTGCACATATAATGCGAAAAAAAACTAAATATTTTCCCATTTTCTAGGCATAAAGAGATGGCTCCTCCAAAATACATGCAGCTGGAACACAAACTACGCACTGATCCAAGACTTTCTGATTATTTTTAAAGATTTTTATTTATTTATTACTCTTTCCTGTACAGCTATAATGTAAAATATACTAAGTAGTTCATTCTCAGTGAGGAATGTGTAGCCATAGATCTCCAATATCGTATTTTTCATAGCCCAGACCTGTAATTTTACTGTTATTTGCATCTAAGGATAAACAGTCACAGATTAATACATTGTCTGTTCTCGGGTGGAACTTTTACGTTTGTCAAAAGCTTTTGACTGACAGCTTCCAATACTAGCTCTGCCGCCAATCAGTGTGATGTTATTTACACATCTTAGCTGATTAGATTAAAACTGTCAAATGCTCTTACAAACATGAAAGCTTCCTTTTATCTGCATCTGTTCATCTTTAGACATTTAAACGACTTATTTCAGTCTCTTGACATGGTTTCATGACAGACTAGATTTTAGGTTTCATATATGAGCAGTTGACAGCAGCAAGCATGTGATATATTGAGTCTCTGCCAAAGTGTGCCAGATCTGTCATAAAAAATGTTTATTTTTTTCATTCATCTGTCAATTTATATCCCTCAGTATTCAATTTCTTTTTGTATTCTTCATAGACTCTTTTGCGATCAAAATGCTTCACCTGATTAAATGACAAAAAATTCACTCTAAATTAGTTTTGGGAGAGTGCATTATATACTTTGTTGTGAAACTCATTAATAATTCATGAAGAAAACACAAAAGAAATCATGAGCGTGAAGGAGCTTGTATATCTGATACAAAATCATGCTGATTACATTCATCGATCTCATTTAAGTTCAATTTTCTTTACCGAATATCAATCATTTATTTTGATGAAGAATACAAATGTTCTCATCAAGATGTTTCACAAGCCATTAACAACATTCATGCCCGTGTTGTATCGGATATACAAACCCTTGCCTTCGGCTTAAGTTTGTATGTGCAATACAACACAGCCACTGGCCTGCTGATGAGGTAAATAGTAACATACAATCATAGTAATCCCCTAACATGTTTGTTGCCATTTCAATGTAGCCTGCAAAGCAGGTGTTGTATTTGAAATGTGTGGGCACAGAATACTACACAGAAGTCCATCTCCATTGTTTTTTGCGTAAGCGTTATTCGTCATGATTCGTCACTCAGCAAGTACCGTAAACAGAAGCAGTCACCCCCCTGGACATGTGCCATTTTTAGTATTTCCAGGGGGGTGACTGCTTCTGTTTACGGTACTTGCTGAGTGACGAATCATGACGAATAACGCTTACGCAAAAAACAATGGAAATGGACTTCTGTGTAGTATTCTGTGGTGTGGGGGTGGTGAGCCATATCCACCCAAAATGCCTACAATGGGTGGTGACCTCTACATAAACTGGAGTGATATTGACTTTTGAACCCTGTTAGATGTCAACAACTGCAGATAAAAACATCAATGTTTTTATCTGCAGTTGTTGAGTGTTCATCCATTGATGCAAACTATGGTCTGTGCTGTGGTAAGGCTTACCAATCCCCCCCCCCCCGTAATTTTTGCTTACCCAAGAAGGCAGACAGGATTTCTCAAACATTTTTCTAAATTCTTCGCAAACTTCGGTCTTGTCAGGATTTTTATCTCTGCATTCATAATATTTATCTCTCGCTTCGTAACATAGCTGACGTGAATTGGCGTTGGGCGCTGGCATTTATACACAATTTATATTATTTTCTCAAAAATAATCGGTTATCAAATAATTAAAGTGCTTCGAATTGCGCCCTCCCCCCCTGTTAGATGCTAGTCAAAATTCCTTATTTTTGGAACAAAATTTCCTGCAGAAGAATTTTGCAAACAAAGAGTTAAATTGCTCCCAAAGCTTGCTTTTATTCCCTAAATTTTCGTAGTTTGTTCTGCTTACTCCAAATTGTCCATTTTTAACAATTATTCTGTATATTCGTTTATTTTAAAACTAAATTGAAAAAATATTTCACAATTCACAAAATTTTCCTTAGTCTAGAAAATTCCATTAAGCTCGGTTACTAAGTCTGGGCGCCATATTTGAAATATATTTGAGTTGATTTTTATATTTTTATAAAAGATCAAGCATTTTATCGCCTAATTTTACCACTTTCTCGTTGTTTTTCAAGCTTGTAGATAAAACAGACATTAGCTAAAGATAGTTTAAGCTTAAAATGTAAAGTTATCGAGTTTTTTTATATTGAAATGTCTGCAAAAAGAGCTGCTCAAAGAATTGAGAAAATGCCAGATTCGGGTTCTCTGTCAGCGCGTCATATATTTCGAGGGATTGAGTATATTGTGAGTATGTTTGTTCGTGATGAAGTTGTCGTTGTCGAAGCAGAAGATAGACTCACAGCTGATCAATGGAGGGCTGAATTTGATGCAAGATGTAATGTATAATCTGTCTAGAACATATATGTGATAAATATAGGGTTGAGGTCATGCAAACTACAAGTAAATATCATAGACTGATTCTGGGAGCTGTTTGTACCCCCCTGAAAATATTAACACCCTCACCCCCCTGGAAAAAGTTTGCATGTGTCATTGCTTTACCAAAACTATGTTGGTTTTGTTTATAGGCGTAAAAAAAAATACCTGTGGTTCCAGTTCGCGACTGACCCTATTTTTTTCTGCCGACCCTATTATTTTTTCAACGTGATTGACCATGCGACCCTATTTTCTCTGGGTGGTTGTGGGCTGCTGCCAAAATGGCATCTGTTGTCACACTAATTATTGAAAAAACCATGAAAAAAAAAATTAAAATTTCTCCGACCTACTGACCCCAATATTTTCGCGATATATGAAACCGGAACCGCAGGTTTTTTTTTACGCCATATGGAGGCGAGCCAGCCTGTTTACCTTAGCTTTGCCGAGACCAATTTTACCCTGTGTTTACATTGGAGTTTTTAGGTGGGCTGGCTCTCCAAAACAAACCACTGGGCTCACCACTCTAAAGAGTATAATATAAATATATTTTCTCACGAACTTGAAATTTGCCTTTTTTGCTGGCAACTTTCATGGTTATAACACGCAGAATTCTTCACAGAGACCTTTCAATATTGAAATCTGTTGAGAAATTCTTATTCATAACTAACACTCAGCCCGCTCAGTTGAGCCACCTGAGGTCAGCCCGGGTCATGGCATTTATATGGGAAATTCCCAGCCCAGTCACCTGAGATCTCAGGTCAGTTGAAGCAGGATCTCGCTTAGGCGGGCCAGCTTGGGTCCTGTATGTACGTAAAATTAAATTTAGTAGGAAATTATGGTCATTCTTTGTGTGTGTTTTTAGACATTGAAGACCTCACCCACAAAACCGGCAATTTTAAACAATTCAAAGTTTTTGTGAACATGCTTGAGTCAGCATTGAACAAGGTTAGAGGAGATATGGTTTAAGATACAAAATTTTTGAAATTGAAGCAGTTTGAAAAGGAATACAATGGTTGTCCATTGTATTTCTTTACAATGTTTACAAGATTTAATATCTTTTTCACAATTCAAGATTTAATATCTTTTTCACAATTCAAAAGGATTCTCCAAGCGTAAGTTTGGACCTGTTGACATACGCGGATCTGCAAAGTCTTCGAGAACAAAAGCCTGGAATTGGAACCAACAATATCCCAGGAGCAAGAGCTGCATCTCAATTAGCTACAAAGCGATATTTGATTTTGACCTACACTGTGGAATTTGATAGGTAAATTTGGCTTGATATTTTGAATGCTTAGCAACTAATTGTATTCTACGACTGTCTTATATTTATACTGGTTACTGTAGCTCTAACATATCAGTTCTAAATTTTTTTTTCTAGAGGTTCAGTAAGGATTATTTCTTATTGATCCAGTGTTACTACAGGAGGACACCTAAATTAAACTAACTTTATTTATACTGGATAGCTCTATCAGTTCTAAACTGTTCTTCCTAGAGGTCCAGTAAGGATCATCTCTTATTGATCCAGTGTTACTACAGGAGGAAACCTAAATTAAACTA